CCCCCCCCCCCAGAGCTGCACAGCCCACCTGAGACCAGCACAGCCTCCTCTAAGAGCCGCACGGCCCCCTTGAGAGCCGCATAACCGGCATTGTTGTATAATGTATTGCTGTGATTTGTAGTCCTCTATAGTAGGTGACATTCTGCATTACTGTATAATGTATTGCTGGGATATGTAGTTCTCTATAGTTGCTAATATTCTGCATTGTTGTATAATGTATTGTTGGGATTTGTAGTGCTTCATGGTTGGTGGTGTTCTGCATTACTGTATAATGTATTGCTGGGATATATAGTCTTTTATAGATGGTGGTATTTTGCATTGCTGTATATTGTATTGCTGGGATATGTAGTCTTCTATAGTTTGTGGTATTCTGCATTGCTGTATAATGTGTTGTTGGGATTTGTAGTGCTCTATAGTTGGCGGTATTCTGCATTGCTGTATAATGTGTTGCTGGGGTTTGTAGCTCTCTCTAGTTGGCAGTATTCTGCATTGTTATATAATATATTGCTGAGATTAGTTCCTTTACAGGTTGGAGTCAGTGGCAGAACTACCAGGGTCACAGCTGCAAATGGGCCCTGGTGCTCCACCACTGACTCTAGGCTGTGCAGAGACTGTTCCTTTGCAGTGTGCTGCGTGACATGTACCTTAGTAGCACACTGCAATGGAACACTTCACTCATTAGCACAGTACAACGGTTCATGTCACTCTGTAGTGTCGTTAAAACCTCTTGTATTGTATTTTTCTTCTAAGATTTAAGCACATTATTAGTTCAGACAGTTGTATGAAGTGTTTTTCTAAAAGAAATCATCAGTATTCGGGTCTAAGTGCAGGGTTGGCACTTTGAGACACATAAGTTGGTTTAGTGATCCAGTTTGGGCACTCAGGCTCAAAAAGGTTTGCCATTACTGATCTAATATTTATGAGGCATCTGAAGATACTGCCAGCCGAAGCTTATCTAAGGAAATAGCAATCAGTGAGGCTAGAAAACCTAGCCCAATTTCTGCTCTTTTCCCCAATTAAGGAGGTACCGGAGATGTTTGCATAGACTATAAAGGATGTCACTGTTCATATACTGTATATCAACATTTTCCCCCTAATGTTTGATGATTTTTTTAAATGTAACTTTGCATTTTTATATGTGGGGAGTGCTAAAAGGTAAAGATGAGTTGGCAAAAAGAGACACTAAGCAAGTGCAAAGGCTGGAACATGATCATAGAGATTAAATCCTTTCATTTAAACAAAGACAGCATACAAAACAAAGTAAGAGTCTCTGCCAATGTGCTTTTGTTTGCTTCAAACAGGTTTTGCAGCCCCAAACAAATTAAGGGCAGAGTTTATATAATTTGTTCAGTCACAACACCCTTAAAAAGTATTCAAAATCTTGAGGCATCCCAGTCTAAAATATAAAAAAAAAGGCAAATGCAAAAATGTTAAAATTATTTGTGGTTCCCCTCAAAATCTATACCAAACCCTTTGCTAGATATAGAGCTAGTATGGGATTTAAGGGGGGAAGGAGTTCCCTCTTAACATAAGAGTCCCCCCTTCCCGTCAGGAGCCCCCTTCCCATCAACGCTCCCTTTCACAACAGTTCACCCTTCACCCTTCACATCAGGAGCCTCTTTCACACCAGGAGCCCCACTTCAGGTCAGAAACCCCTTTCAAATCAGAGTCCTATGTTATAATATTCACCGCAGTGCAGCTATGGCTGAATGCTGAGGGAGGTCCTGGATGCAGCCTGTCCTGGATTACCGTCATGCACTTCCATGGTACTCGCAGCTGGCTCGCCTGTACCATGGAAATTGATAACACTGAACAAAAATTTGAAGGCACCCCTGACAAAGCCAGAAGGCTCCCCATGGTGCAGTGGCACCCTGTTTGAGAAAGGATGATCTAGGGCAGGGGTCAGCAACCTGCGGCTCCGGAGCCGCGTGTGGCTCTTTCATCCCTCTGCTGTGGCTCCCTGTCCAGGGGCGGAACTACCGATGGGGCCTCGGGGCCTGAGGCTGTGGGGGGGACCACTGAGGTCCGGTCCTGGGCACCATCCCTGGTGGAATATGCAGCAGTGCAGGGTCCCGGGGCCCCGCACTGCCTACAGGCTTCTCAGCAAGGGGCGGGTCACGTGTGTGTCACATGTGTGTGTCACATGCCCTGCCCCCTGCAATGCACACCATTTAGCTGGGATGCTGGCTGAGGCTTGGCAGGTGAGTCCGAATGAGGAGCGGGTGGGGAGGGGGGGTGGTACAGGTGTAATTGCACACTGTGTGCTGTTATTTCATTTAATTAGAAAGTGGATTATAATGGGCAACATTACACTGTAATGTTGCCTATTATAATCTATTTATCTGATTAAATTATTTTTTGGTGGTGGAATGTGTGACCACCAAAAGGTCAAGCATTCCAAAACTTTCTCAGCTGTTCCAGGGCAGATCGGCATCACAAATCGTATGTGCAGGAGAACTGATCTGCCCTGCAACAGCTGATCGTTCCTAAAATGTCACTTCTATCCGACTTTGTGAGTGGGTGGAATGTGAGATTGCACTCAGAGTCGGACAGAAGTGACATTTCAGGACCCATCAGCTGGTCCAGGGCAGATCAGTTCTCCTGCACATACGATCTGCGATGCCGACCTGCCCTGGAACAGCTGAGAAAGCGTTGGAAAGCTTGACCTATTGGCGGTCACACATTCCACCGCCAAAAAACGCAGTCACAAACCTTGTGATGGCAGAGGTGACAGGGGAGGGGGTGGAGGAGGCCAGGCCCCAGCAGCAGCAGGTAAGAGGAGTTGGGAGGAGGTACAGGAAAAGGGATCCCAGCCACCAGCCCACCTGAGGCCCTGCAGAGCCCACCATAGAGAGTCTCAGATGGGCTGTGCAGGATCTATGGTGTGCTCTGCAGCGTCACTCTCAGGTGAGCTCTGCAAGGTCTCAGGTAAGCCCAGAGTCCAGTGCGTTACTAAGCCCAGAGTCCAGTGCGTTACTAAGCCCAGAGTCCAGTGCGTTACTATAAGCCCACATATACCTATATACTGTACATGCTATACATAGCATGAAGGTAAAAAACGATATATGCAGTGTTATCTTCATTTTAGATGTCAAAAGGGTTTTGTGGCTCCCGGTGTTTTCTTTTCTGTGGGAAACAGGTACAAATGTGTTTAAAGTTGCTGACCCCTGGTCTATGGGAATGCAAAACCTGTTTGAAGCAGGTGAAATGCAGGTCAGAAGGAGGTCAACTGTAAGTCAGATGCACCTGTCAATTCATTCTGAATGATCTCTGAAGCATGTTAAACTGAAGTCAGATTGATTCCATTATAACACGTGCCAAAAAAACATCAATACAAGTCCTAAATATGGTGATTATATTTCTTGTTCAGAGATGTGACCAAGAATCAATGATCAATGACCAAGAAAGTATACTAAGTTGCTGAGCCAACTCAATGGAAGTTCTTCCACAGTGGTTGTGATTATATTACAAATTCCTACACAAATACACACGCACACACTCTCTTTCTCTCAGACATAACACTTTGTAAGTTGTGGCATCGTTTTTCAGGGTCCCAGTCAGGGCCAATAAGCAGCTGCTTACCTTCTCACACTTGGCGTGTTTCTCATTGGAAAATGTCTTCTCATCTCTCTGTAGAACACAACAGCCCACAGAAGAATCTGGAGTGTGGCCAAATAACCAGTTTGAAACTGAGAGACTTCAAGCAATGATCCTGGCATCAGCAAATGGTCAGTTTCCATGACAGAAAACACAAGAACTCTTTGATCCTGCTGACTTTGTTCCAGTTAGAAAACAGAGAACAGTTACTGAATTTAAAGCATCCATGGTGTTATGCTCCCTCTGATATTGTATAGCTGTCAAGAAGGACACGTTGGCTTCTTATTTTACTGTCAGGCAGTCATTCTTGGACAGCAATAAAATACATTTGTGTGGTAGGAATGAGTAAAGAGCATTGGACATTTAAAAAAAATATTCTATAGTGTACTATTGCCATAGTTGGTTAGATGGTTTTCAATTTTATTTTAATAACTTTCTGAAAGTGACCCTGTCAATCACTTGTATATAACAGCATATTGGCTAAAGAAGAGGCAACATACCTTTCCAGCGGTCCCTGTTTTAAATGATGCTGCTAAGATAATATCCGGCTGCTGCAAGTATCCGTTAGGTTGGGTGGGTTTAATACCTGTCCCCCCCCCCCTCCTGCAAGCTTGTATGTCCACTTTTGACATACAAGCCGGCAGGAGGAACCACAGTGTATGATGGGAGAAGCAGTTATTCAACACACACAGAAAGATGTAATACTTGCAGCAGTAGGGAAGCAGTGACATTTAAGACATGGGTCACCGGAAAGTAAATATATTTGCTTTTCTTTTAGAAGGTAAGTTTTTATAGACAGTATGTGACCCTGTGCTGACAGGTTGACTTGCCCCTAGCCTGTATTCAGCATATTCCTAGATGCCCGTAAAGTGGCCCTGACACTACAGTGTCACAAATAAAGTAAGCCCATGCTGTAAGCATTTTCATAAGGAGGGGGCCTACATATTTCTCTTACCACAGATTTCCTGTAATGCAAAAATCATTTTGCTAAGTTTAGCAGTCCATAATAGGCAGGCAATAAGTTATCATTCCAGCAGCCTGTGAGATAAAACTCTGTGTTGCTGTTCTCGATCTGCTGCAGGTATCAAAAACATCCAGCAAGACAGGACATGAGGGGGACATATCTCTAAAAGAGTCATGAGTCATGGGCAGCAATAAAAACCTGATAGGGGTCTAACCTTTCCCCACTAAGAAACTAAAGTGACACTGAACTCAGGAGTTATATCTTAAAAATGCATTCAAGTACCCTATCTATTAACAAAAATGTATCTTATTTGTGTATTACTTGGCTGTAGATCCTCAACTCATCTCTGAATTGGTGCTGACACTGTCCTTCCTTCTGGAGGGTGGCTACTTTTGTTCCCCATGGTTTTTGTGTGTGTTGTAAAGTAGCCACTGCTCTAAGCTCACTCCTGTGATGGACTACAATCTCAATACAAATTAGTAAACTAAATGTGAGATTGTAGTCCTTCGCAGGAGTGAGCTTAGAGCAGTGACTTTTTTACAACACATAGCTACCATGGGGAACAAACGTTGCCACCTAACAGAAGGAAAGAAAGTGTCAGCATGAATTCAGAGATGATTTGAGGATCATCTAAGAGTGTGGAATCATTCAAGAAACTCCTGGACGAGTTCCTTGGAGACCATAACATACAGGGGTACAGGTACGCCTAAGAGCAAAATCCCACATGGACTAATACACACGCACACACCTGCTCAAACATAAATGCCTACACAATAGGTTGGACTTGATGGACTTATGTCTTTATTCAACCTCAAATACTATGTAACTATGTAACTATGTAACTATGATCTACAGCAGAGTGATATACAAATAAGATAAAAAAATGTAATAGTTAGTGTGCTTGAATGCATTTCTAAGTTTAACTCCTGAGCTCAGTGTCACTCTTTAAGTATTGGCTGGACACACACTTTAATATCAAACTATTTTCATTGGCTCTAGTAAATTAGTTTTTACTATTACGTTACAAACAGGGACTTTCCATGTTAACTGGTAATCCCCTAAAAAATGCAGAAGTTTTATTTGTAATGAAACTGCTGAAGAGATCAATGAAAAGTTTAAGATTTAATATCTTAAACGACTTTTGGAACAAATGTTTACAAGCTTCCAGAGACTTAAAAGAGGACTAAGGGGAAACCTTTTTATCCCATATAATGGTGCTAATATCCCATAGTTCTCTGTAGGGTCACGTGAGGACATATCCTAACATCCTTCCGTGACCCAAAGCTCAGTATATAGCAAGCTATATACTGAGAGCGCCGCAGCGGAGACGGATTCCGACAATACTGTCGAGATCCACTCAGCTGGCTGATTGACAGCCGGCTCTGCCTATCTAGAGGCCCTCCCCCGTCCGTTTCTCCAGTCAGCGCTGGATCGACAGGGGAGGGAGGAATCCCTGCGCAAAGCAGTGACTGACAGTCACCGCTCACTGCAGGGATATGACCGGGAAGTGAGCTAGTGACGGTATGTGTTCACTCACTTCCCGATCAATAGAGCCGACCTGGGTTACGTAATGTCCTATCAGCTTGCTAACTGGAGTTAATGCTTTTGAGCCTCTGTGCACATTATATAGACCTGTGGATGGAATCCTGGGTAATGTGAGAAAATATGTGCATCTATTATTGCTGGCACCTCAGTAAATGATCCCCTCCAAGTGGTAGATTACATCATACAAAGTGATATCATGTGCTGTGTTCCAGGATGTTAGCTGGTTTCTTGGGCATTATGTTAAGCTTTAAAAATAAAAGGATTGGTAACATTTCCAGGACATTTCACAAGCTTTGTAATGCTATCCTATAACAATGTATTATTATTGATCTGGAAGATGTGTAATTTAAATATTGTAGCATTATTATAACAGAAACCTGTATAGAGAGAAATATAATCAATTCGATTGCTGACATTCTTCTCAAAATGCTAATTGCCTGTCTATTATGCTGTTCCTCTGATCTCAATACCTTTCGAGTTATAACCCAGGAACAAACATGCAGCCAGTGAATCTAGGATCTTGATCTGCATGCTTGTTCCATGACTGAGAAAAGTATTAAAGTGTGTATATCCTACACCTTCGATTAAAAGATAACTAAAGCCAAACCATTTCGTTTTAGCTTTAGTTCTCTTTTAGGTCAAAGAAGTACATTCACTGATGTACTCCTGTGACCCCAACTCAGCAAATAGCGGGCTACTGCAAGCTATATGCTGACATCCCAGAGCCCGGCTACAGCCAGGAAGGATACCAACAATACTGTTGAGACCCGCACCTTTACCTGATTGACAGCTGGCTCTGCCTCTCAAAAGCCAGAGCCAGCTGCGCCCGCCCCCTCCTCCGTCTGTCCCTCCAATGAGTGCTGGAGGAGCAGAAAGAGGAGGGGGAATCCCTGTGGGGAGCAGTGACTGACAGTCACCACTCTCTGCAGGGAGAAGACCTCAGCTGAGTAATCAGCAGTTTGTGATCGCTCAGCACTCCATCTATAGAGGCGGTGAGTGGCAGCTGCAGAGTCCTTCACTGGCTCTAAGTATTGGGAAGAGTGCATCTTACTCTCCCAATACTACTAATTTAAGTTTCCAGCATAGAAGGGCTGACCTTGGATGTCACTAGTCTCAGATTCCTGCCTCTATGCACTAAGAAGTATTTGCTTATCTATCTTAGCAGTGTAGATGTATTGCCTTCTGAACTTCTACAGACTGAAATTAACCCTGTATGTCTAATGCCGTCACAAATCCCAGAGTTTCTCCTCTCCTAAAACCTTATAGGAGAGCTGATATGAGATAATTATTATTATTATTATTATTATTTCTACTACAGCTATACAGCTGACAACTTTCCTGCTACCTTTTTTTTAGATTTGGAAATGCTTTATGTTAAGATCAATGACTAATTCTAAAACTGGTGCTTGTTCAGCCACCCTACACAGCAGGAAATTGCATATACAATATCTGTCAAATTGCATATTTATTTATGTCTCTTTAGTTGGGACTTAAAGGAATTCTCCAGTCAAAATTAAAAATTATACATCAAAATCTATACAGTATTGCTGTCTTATACATATAAGGATCCTGCTACAAATACAATATCAGTACTAAGAGCTTTTTCACAGCCCCCTGTGAGATGCAAACATACATTGGGAGCATGGACATAACTGGTGATCACAGGTATCAAGGAGTATTCTCCCAGTAACCCTGTAATCTCAAGATTGTTTGTGCATAGGGATTGAATTCAACTACACTGGACTGCTTAGGACTGGCTATATACTAAGCTAGTCTGCCAAGAACCAGCTATTTAGTTACACCACCTGGCTACCAGGAACCAGCTATATACTTCCTACACTAGGCTACTAGGGACCATCTACATACTCACTATACTAGACAACCAAGTACTGACTTCATTCTTACTAAAGTAGACCACTAGGGACTGGATAAATATTATTCTGCTAGCTACTAGGGACCAGCTATTTACTTACTAATATTGGTAATCAGTGACCATTTATATACTTACTATACTAGGCCTATACTATACTATAGTATACTATAGTATACTATACTATACTACACTACACTATACCTAGGCCTCCAGGGACTAGATAAACCCTTACTACACAAGGCCACCAGGGACTGGCTAAATACCAACCTTTACAGACTACAATACTTAAATTACCTTGCCACTAGTTATTAAAATTTGACATTTACTGGATTAGACTCACTTGACAAAAGCTGACTATGTTTTACTTAGAGTACAAACCATAAGCAGTTCAACTGTTAGTAAATTAATAAATATGTTTCAGCCAATAAATCTTTTCTTTCATCTCTACAGAGGCCGCTGAAGGAAACTCTGGTCTCGTAGGATCAACAGGTACAATGGGACTTAGTGCTCGCTATGGACCACAGTTCACTCTACAGCACGTCCCTGACTACAGACAAAACATCTACATTCCAGGAACAACAACAACCCTTACTAACGCTCCGGGGAAACGTGACAACAAAGCACCTTCAGGGAACAAGAAGAAATCGGGGAAAAAGGAAAAGAAATAAAGATGTATAGCAGCATGCATTATACCAACATGGCAGAATTATGTGAGATCTTCCCTCTAGCCGAAATCCCAGAAAGAATGTCTTATTCACAGAAGGAAAGAGAATTTCAATCATTATCTCTGCCAATGTGTCCTTTCTACTATTGGAGCTTGTGATAGCAAATACTAGTCTGGACACTGAAATTGAGTGTTCTGTCAATATGAGCCAATATTTTCTAATGGCGAGGTTACTGAGTTCTGAAAAAGTCCTTTCCTAGCCAATGATGTACTCTTTCTACATGCTATTAGGATTCATCTTTGCTGGCAGCGTTCCACTTACTTGCGGAACTTCTTCCAATGTATATATGTATCACTAAATAGGCATTTATTACTGATCATTATCACAGATGCTCTGAAAACTTTGTTAACCCATCTTGCATTTTTGACTGTTTTCTTTTAAATTTTGGAAATTAAAACAAATGCACATATAAGTTAGTATTTGGTTTTAGATGATCAGTGTTTTTTTCTGGGTTTTTTTTGTTTTTTTTTGTGTAGAAACTTGTAACTATAGATCTATCTGTATAGAGCGCCAAAATACAAATTTATGAGAAATATAAACTTTTTTGGCTGTAAGGAATGTTTGTGACAAACAAGAGGAACCCAGGGAACTGAATATACTCTTATTGTCAGCGGCCTTCTCTTTAGAAAGTCATCTTCGATTTCTAAAAAGAAAAAAAATAAGAAAAATACTTTTTTTTTTTACATGTGACACTTCCTCTGATATGGGAACATTGCTGGGCAGTAAGTTAGTTGCTGATGGGTTTGTTTGATCTGTTGAAGAAGAGTTAAATGATTGAATTATCAGCATTTAGAAATGCATGTGATCTCACTCTGCATTTCTACTATCATTTTTTTTTTGCATGTAAGTATCCAGCATGGCATCTTAAAATTCTTTATAAAGAATGATAGAAGGTAAACCTGTTTAATACAGGGCAGACCAGGATAAATTGTACCTATTGACTCTGGTTAATCATGCACTGGTGACTTAAGCCATGCTAAACAGTGCTAAAAGTGGCATTTAGCATGTCTTTAGCACACTTTAGAGCTCCTTAAGTGCTACTGTAGCTTGATGAATCAGATCCATTATGGTTAAACAGGGCTACCAATAACCATATAAAGAGTTCTTTTATTAATTCACTTCCTGAAAACATACGCATGGGAGCCCCAGGGGAGACACATGGGAGTCCCATTTGTAATTTACTTGTGTAGTTGATAATTTTACACTTCTCTGCTGTAGTCTCCAAATATAATGTGAACCTGCAGTTTCTCTGAGAAGAAAAAAAATCCCCTTACAGTCAATTGTTTAATTTGCAAATATTGTTTCTAACCTTTATGTAGATCCATACCTCCTTTTGCTCTGTAGGTCATCAGAAAGGACATGAGAGTAGTGCTGAATATGACCGATAGGTGGAAGGGTATGCTACTATAATCAAAGTGCTGTAATAAGAAACATTTAATGCCCCCTCCCCCAGGGATCCCCATAGACATACATCTAACCTTGCAAGTATTGCACCAAAGTACTCCCAGCACAATAAACCTAAAGACATTGCTGGGTAACTATATATGAAGCTCTATGCAGTCCTCTAAGCCAGTTGAAGAACAGAAAGATGAGACACGTGGCTTATCCTGTCTATGGACTGTGTACTGTTGCTGTGGTTGCAAGGAGGATACATTTACATTTTTTTGGAAGTTCAGAAAATCATAAGGAGCATACATGTTGAAACAGAAAGGTCATTTTTAACAAAACTTCCTTACAAAATGGCTTGTCCAGCAATTTTATATGAAAGTGGAGTTTTCCTTTAACGATGTATCCCAAACTGACATTGAATAAAAATATAAATGTTGTAAAAATGAAAGGCCAGTTGGACCGCAGTATGGTTTATGTACAGAATAAATGCTGAATAATGTTTTAATTGAAGAGTGTGGATATTTTTAACACTGGCTGCACAATCTAAATATAGCAAATCTACCCGTTTCCATTTTAAAAAATTTATTTCTATGTGTTTTTTTAATTTATTTTTACATGTAACGTATGGTAGCTGCTACGAGTCAGTGACAAACCTTTAGATTATTTTAATGACCACTTTGTATTTTATGTCACATTACCTACAGACCAGGTTCTGTCTTTGTACACTGATGCAAAAAGATAAAAAACAAAGGCTTTTAGTCATGTTGAAGTATCATTTTTGTACACTCTGTCGCTTACACAATCTTTCTTTTTTTTAGGCATATAAGTTCTGATGGCATGAGCAGTAAAGCCTTGTGTCTTTCAGCTTGCTGCTTGACAATGCTATTGCACTGCTTACAGTAATGTTATATGAAAGCATTAAATACAATAACCTCCTATACCAATGTCTGTCATGTGACCTCAGCTTGAGGCACCAAAAACAACTATTTATCACCTTACATACAGGTGACCACATAATAACCTTTTAAACAGCTTGTAATACAAAACAGTCAAACCAATAATAGAGCAGTAGGCCACATTTTTTTATTACTTTGTTGTTATGATTTACCTTTTACAACAACCTTCATTCTAGAATAGCTGGTATGTATAATATAGTTCTAATGTGATCCTTTCATCCCTGTATCCGACTTGTGGGTTGCAGTATTTTAATTGCTCCTTCTGTATCTTTCTGTGTGTTAGTGATATAAATGTTCATCCAAATTATGCACCTGTCTTTTCATTGTGTCTAACTGAACTGTACTTTACTATTATAAATATGCTTTCACCCTTCTTATAACCGTAAATAGACTAATGTCAATGTCTTACACGCAAGTTTTATACAATTATATTTATATTGCTTTTATTTCTTTGGGAAAAAAGATAAATAAAACGTTTTTCTTCCAGAAAGAGTGGTGTTTGTTTAATTAATATGTTATGGATTTTTTTAGTGTTTGCATATGAAAGAGCAGGGCTG